AAGATGACGGAGAAGTAGCGGACTCAACCTCGCCAATGACACCAATGGTCACGCCGAACTCTCAACGACAACAAGAGAACTCAGGAAGACCCACAACGAAAGATGCTCCCAAGAAATTTCGCTCACTTGCCGAGGTCTATGCGGAAGCACCACTAGTAGAGATGGATCTTGATGAATTATTGTTGCTCACTACCAATGAGCTAACAACATATCATGAGGCGGCAACCGAGGAGTCGTGGAATAAGGCCATGCAAAAAGAGCTCGAGTCCATCGAGAAGAACAAGACGTGGGAGCTCACCGACTTGCCACCCGGTCACAAGCTCATCGGCTTAAAAGAGGTGTTCAAGTTGAAAAGAGATAGCGAAGGCAACATCCTTAAGCACAAAGCAAGATTGGTGGCGAAAGGTTACATGCAGAAGCAAGGAGTCGACTTCGAGGAATCCTTTGCACCGGTGGCGAAACTCGATACCATCAGGTTAATTCTTGCCCTCGCAGCTCATCGTGGGTGGGAGATCCACCACTTGGACGTCAAGTCGGCGTTTCTCAATGGTGATATTGAAGAAGAAGTCTACGTCACCCAACCTGAAGGATTCATTGTCAAGAATGAAGAGCACAAGGTGTACAAGTTGTCCAAAGCTCTCTACGGACTACGCCAAGCACCAAGGGCGTGGAACACTTGTCTTAACAAGAGAATGATGAGTCTAGGCTTCGTGAAGTATCCTCAAGAGCAGGCTGTGTACACGAGGAATCACGGAACAGAAGTACTCATCGTCGGCGTGTACGTTGACGATTTGATTGTAACGGGATCCAGCATTGATGGTGTTGAGATATTCAAGAAGCAAATGATGAAGGAGTTCGAGATGAGTGATCTTGGGCTGCTCTCATACTACCTCGGTATCGAGGTAGACCAAAAGAAAGACCACATCACAGTGAAGCAATCGGCTTACGCAAAGAAGGTGTTGGAGCAGTTCGAAATGGTAGATTGCAACCCGAGCAAGTATCCAATGGAAGCAAAGTTGCAACTCGGAAAGGATATGGAATGAATCCTTGTGAATCCCACCAAGTATAGGCGTGTCATCGGGTGTCTCAGGTACCTGACCCATACTCGACCCGATATCTCATACGCAGTTGGCATGGTGAGTCGTTACATAGAGCAGCCTACCACTTTACACCAGCAGGCGGTGAAGCATATTCTTCGTTACATAAAGGGACCAATGAGCTACGGGATTCAGTACAAAAGAGGACAAGGAGCTGAAGAACTCGTCGGTTTTACTGACAGTGATCTAGCCGGTGATTTAGACGACAGGAAAAGCACCGGAGGGATGGTATTTTATCTCAACGGGAATCTAATCACTTAACAATCTCAGAAGCAGCGAACCGTTGCTCTATCATCTGTGAGGCAGAGTTTTATGGCAGCCACTGCGGCATCATGCCAAGCAATGTGGCTGAGAAGTTTGTTGAGCGAGGGGGCCGGAAACGAGCCAAAA